CATCCTGCGGGTGTCTCGCGTTGTGGAGCTACACCGCGGAGCAGAAGCTACGGGAGGGCCTACCGCGCCAGGCGAAGGCGCCCTGAAACAGTTTCGGGCAGGAATAGCAATCTGGGGAAATCTAGCAACGTGCGTAGCTCCTCGCTGCTGCAGCCGATCGCAGTGACACGCATATGCACGCGAAGCTGCTGAAGAGAGCTTCAATTTGCGCCGCTTTTTGGAAGAGCCCGTCCCCTGCTTCCCGAGAAATGACGGGAGGCGTCTGGACCCGAATTTCGATTTTTTTTGGTTCTCGCTCTCAATNCTGAACCTGCGGCTCTGTGAGCGACTGTCCCTGCGGTTCTCTCTAGTGCCAACCCAAAGGATAGCGGTACCGACCCTTGCTCACCGTAAAAACAGGTCGGCGAAACAGACCCAGGTGTGGAGACACCGGGAACCCCGACGGATCTCCCGATGTCTGCGAAGAGGGTACCGGCTCCCGCTGGAGACCAACCGATCAACGTCCAAACTCTTCTCCGTGCTGGGCACTACCTCGTGGTGTTTTCTTGGTGTGCTTGTCCAATCGAACGCAAACAGACTGCACGAGCGTTCGCTCCCCCACCAGGGGACGCTTCAGCTCTATCCCCTTGAAGTCGAATTCCGACACGCCTCCACCAAACACCGCTTTCCTTCAGAACGCTACATTTTTTATTTTTCTTAGTATGACACAACGAGTCCATCTCTATCATAGAAAAGAGTCAGAGACAGATTAACAATGGAATCATAGCGTCAGAGAAAACTACCTGTGTGTCTACGATTTCCCAGACAGCATATAGAGACATCTCCCCTGTGGGTAACAGGCTCAACAAATCAGTTTGGTAGCTGTCTTGTGTGTCTCATATATGTTATGTTGGGAAGGTGCAGACGAAAGGTGTTGGGTACTGTTGGGTAGTCGGGCGTTTTGTGTGTCGCACCCTATTAGTTCTAACACATGCAATCTCCATCAGTTTACAAACATATCCTCAGTTTGGTATGCATATGTGCGGAGTATGTGCGGCTGATGTGCCATCTCTATCATAGATAAGAGTCAGAGACAGATTAACAATGGAATCATAGGGTCAGAGAAAACTACCTGTATGTCTACGATTTCCTAGACAGCATATAGGGACAACTCTCGGGTGACAGGCTCAAAAGATCAGTTTGGTAGCTGTCTTGTGTGTGTCATATATGTTATGTTGTGGAATTTCATGTCGTTAAATGTGAGAAGGGCACGTGAGAACATTTCTCATCATTGCCTCCTGATGACGTGGTCGCCGATAGAGGCGTGTGGTTGATGAGGTTTCATAACCGACATGTGGGCGTGTGTTAAATGCAGTGGGTGTGTTCACCTCTCTCGTCCGTGTGTAGGTAGGAGGTATGGCTACCTCTCCCATTTGTAGGCAGCGTGCACCATACTTGTAAATATAGTCTAGACAGAGTTCATCATTTCATGCATGTTACATCATTTGTGTTTGACAAGGGAGGAATGAAAGGTTGTGCGTATGGGTACGGGGGTACTCCCTGTGTCCGTGTTGTTCCCATTTTTGCCGCCTCCTGGACTTTCCGGGGGTTCGCGGAAAAAAAAATCATGGGGTCCCGCCAAAAACTCCCCGGATTCCTGCTCCATAATAACTGGCTTGGCCGTCTACTCGCTTCGCCGTGTTTACCGGGGGCGAGCGAGAGCACGGGTGCGTGTGGTGGCCAAGGGTTGTTTTCTGCCGTGACGTTTCTTTTTGGCACGTGACGTTTCGTGGCGTGACGTATTGGACTGGAGAAGTTTCGCGTCTACGTTTCCCCTGTTTTCGGGGCGACATGGATTCGCATCCAAATCTCGAAAAAGGGCCTGCCGACGGGATCCGTACGTCGGTGGATGCCTCGATCGCCGCCGGCGGCGGCAGCAGCGGTGGTGGCGGTGTCCCTCCCTCCGCCACTGTGGCGGGCGCGGCTTGCGNCACGTCAGCAGCAAGAAGCGGCAGTTGGGGCCGCAGCCGCGGCGGGGTTGGCGGTCGGCGGGGATGAGGCACGGCTGGCCGACGGCATGGCTGGTTTATCCGTGGAGGGCCTCGGTGGG